TTATTGATTTGAGAGAGCAAAGGGGAGAGGGAGGGAGGGAGGGAGAGAGGGAGAGGGGGAGAGGGAGACATATCCATGTGAGAAACATCAATTGGCTGCCTCCCTCCTTATGAGTCCCCACCAGGGACTGAACCCACAACCTAGGTATGTGCCCTGGCCAGGAATTGAACTCGCAACCTTTTGGCATATGGGATGACACTCCAACCAACTGAGCGCCCTGGCCAGGGGTGTATTCTGTATTATTTAGGAAGAGCATTTTGTGCTTCTAGGAATACAAATAATACTTGACATTTAGATCACTAGATAGTTGAAGAACTGATAACGTGGTTAACTGCAAAATTATAGGATAAGCTCTGTTTCTGTTCTGTAAAATCACAAGATACTTTCAATTCACTACAGACAAAAGCACTCAAGTGAAGTTACTTTTTGACAGCATAAAAGACTTGATAAATAATATTATTGTTAATCTAGGACTTTGGTATGTGATTTTTTTCTCCCTGGTGAAAAGACACATGAATAGTAGGGTTTTGATGTACATGTTTAAGACAGCTATATGGAAGCGTCTGAGAGGGTATAAGGTGCTGCTGTCTGTGGCCTTTACAAGTGTCTCTCTCCCAGGCCTTGTGTGCTGGGTGTATTTGTGAAGATTTTTTTTTTTTTTTTTTTTTTTCTAGCATGTACCATACTATTTGCCTAATAGGTACTGCTGATAGACCTNTTTGAAAATTTTTTTTTTTTTTTTTTTTTTGCTAGCATGTACCATACTATTTGCCTAATAGGTACTGCTGATAGACCTGCAGTTCTTGCTCTGTAGTCTCTTCTCTTGGGCATTTACTGGAGAATTAAGGGATTAAGGAAAGCAGTACAGAGGCAGCCACTGTGTTCGGATTCAGGCTCACCAGATCAAAACTACTGCGTTTCCCCTTTTTCCATAAAACGAGGGGGAAAGACCTACTTGAACTGTCCTTGTGAGACTTGAGTGAGCTGAAATGCAAACGTTAAGGGTTGAGGCAGACAATAGGCACTTAGCAAACACTTCGGTGCGGAGTGGTGGGATAGGTGCCTGGGAAGTAACCATGGCCCTGCCCTCAAGAAGCCTAATGCCTTGAGGGGCAGTAAACTGTGTGATTTGGAAAACAGTAAAATCTGAGCTGGACACATCTGGTATCAATTCCAATTCTTTTAACCTTCCAGGTGGCCCTGCAAAAGATACGTCAGTGCCCTAACTCCAAATCCTGTGAGAGTGACCTTCCTTGGGAAAAGGATCTTTCCAGATGAGATCATCCCGGATTATTCCAATGGGCTCCTAAATCCAACGACAAGCGTCTTTCTAACAGATGGGAGACACAGGAGAGAAGGAAACTGGGGTCCTGCGGCTGCAAGCCCAGGAATGAAGAACTACAGGGGCTGGAAGGGGCGAAGGGTTCTCCCCTTGAGCCTTTGGAAGGGGCGCCCCCCTCGCCAGCGCCTCGATGTTGGACTTCTAGCCTACAGGGCTGTTAGAGAATCAACTGTGTTGTTTGACACGTTTATGGCGTCAGTTTCCCTCACCTGTAAAATGGGGTCGCTCTCCTAAGGAGCCTCGCTTTCCGAAGCGGAGAACGGGGAGCCTGCGGTCTGCGGGCGGGCGGGCAGGCGTCAGGCGGCACGGACGCCGAGCGCCACCACGGCCCCTCGCTGTGCTCCGAGCTCGGACAGGCTCTCTGTTTTACTGGTCAGGTAATCCAGGCTCAGGGAAACTGAGTAATCTGCCCAAAGCCACACAACCAGCAAGCGAAAAACGCCGCGCTTACGATTCCAACCGACCCCTCAGGTTTCGCTTTTGTCCTTCGCATTAGACTGTTAGAGAGGATGCCTATTAACGCACTCCACGGACGTTTACTCTTTTAGCATTAGTGCAGGCGACAGGAAAACCCCGCCAAGAAGCCGGCTTCCAAATCTGCTCAGCGCCCCGGCCTCGACCCGGGATCCAGGCGCTCGGGGTTCGATTCCTGGTCAGGGCACTTGCCCCGGTGGCGGGCTCGATCCTNCCTGACCAAGAAAGGACACAGAGCCAACACAGTAACATCTGCAAACACTGCTTCAGCCCAAAGAAGAGTTTCTGACAAACTCTCTGGGATAATTTCATTCCTGAGAAGGAGATAAAGGGACTAGTACTGGGACCTAAACATAAAGTGAAATGAAAGAGACTGACCTTTGGGTAGAAAACTGCCTTGTTAGCTTATCATAGCCAGAGAAGGAAGGACCAAACATAGTCTGAAGTTTGCCTCAGCAAGCAGATTTCAAGAAGTTCAGAGGAAAAAAACAGTCATGACACAGCATCGTGAAACATCTGGAAGGGAAGTCTACTAGAGAGATTGCAAAACTCTCAAAAAAAAAAAAAAAAAAAAAAAAAATTCACCAAAATCTGTGCAGCCCTCGCGAGAAGCCGCTGTCTTCCAAGACTCGGGACCTACAGGGTTAATGACGTCACTTCCGGGAGCCGCTAACACGCCCTCGACGACGGATCCCTTCCAGGGCCAAAACGCTCGTGTGGCTCCGCCCACGTGCCTCTAGATGAGGTAAATAGGCGCGGGCCAATAGAAATGCCGAATGGCCGATTCTCTGGCTAATCCCCGCCCATTAGCCCAAGCTCCTCTGCGGAAGGAGAAAAAAGTGGGCCGGGGGCGGGGCAAGCTCAGGAAGCGGAAGCGGCGGTGTGAGCCGGGAGCTGTCTCCGGCGGGGCCGCACGTGTGCGGTGAGTGTGGCGCGCTGGGCGGCCGCTCCTGGGAGGGATTCGCCCCAAGCCTGGCGCTCCAGCGGGGGGGTCTCGGGGCAGCCGGAGAGGAGAGAGGTGCTCACACCTGTCACCCGCCGGGCAGTCTTGCGTGGTCGTTTCTAGTCTGGGAGTTTGGAGATTGACGGGAGTCTGGGGACCAGGGCGGGTTGAACGATGCACAGATTGTAGGTACTGAGAGACAAGTTTCTCACTGTCAGAGAAGGAAGTTACAAATAAGTAGGAGAAGACGAGCAGGGAACTTTGTGGCACTTGATTAGAATTGGAGACATTAGCGTGAGTTTTTAATACATACGGAAATAGAGGTTTGTGTGTGCACATAGGTTAGTGTACACTAGACCTGAAAGCAGTGACATCCCAGCGACGGCAAGCACACCTAGCGCTCATATCCTGGTTTTTAAGTGCCCTTCTCAGTAAAAGGAGCCACGGTTCCTTGGAGAAATGACTGACTCCACAGCTATCCCAGGGAAAATACGAGGCGAACTTAGAACCAGTACCGGGAAGCAGGGACTTGCTTTAAAAGGAAGATGGGGTTTATCAAAAGGACGCAGCAAACGGAAAGATTTCCCACTCGCCAAAGTTGGAACAATTTGAGCGACAAAATAACAATAGTATTAGGTTATAACCCAAGTAATAAAGTATCTATGAAACCATACTGATGTAAATAAGTGGGGGAGAAGAAACAAGTTTTCTGGTAACGAGGGAGCTGGAAAGTCACCGTGCAAACACCACGGTAATTGCTGCAGGCAAGATTCACTGGAGAATGGTAAAACTAGTGGGAGAAATAAAGAATATTGCATAATCTCAAAATATATCACCCAGAATATTTATTAGTTGTTATGTTCATTTTAACATACATATTTTAACAAATTCTTTAATACTCCTCCCTCTAGGAAGTAGAACATAATTCCCCTCCCCTTCAGTTTGGGCGAACATAGCGACTTGATTCTAAATAGAGTATGGAAAGGGAAGCATAGTAACTTTATACTGGAGAAACCTGGCAAACAGTACCTTAACCGAGCCATCAAGGTTAATATTGCCAGTCATGTAGATACCTTGTTCTTCATAATATGATGTGATGTCAGGGGCACTTCACTTCTGTGATTTTCTTCCCCCCAAATTCATAAAGCCAGTCTAATCGAGACAAAATATCAGACAAACCCTAAATGAAGGATATTCTACAAAGTGACTAACCAGTCATTTTCAAAAGTGTCTCAGTCATGAGAAACAAGTAAAGATTACAGATTGTCACAGAAATATGGTATTGTCCAAGGACCCCTAACATCTACACTAGAGGATCAACTTAAGAAATTTAGGAATGAATGGAATATACAACTTTGGAAGGCAGAGAGTAGCCAAGTCACTTTTGCTCTTGACGTCCTCTGCTGCTTTCAGGAGCCCTGCCTGAGTTAGGGGTTATCTGGTGTCTGCCCTGTGCACCATGGATGGGGTTTCTGTACCCAGTTAGGCAGATTCCTCAAAATGAAATAGTAAATGTTTCAACATAGTCGTATTTTGGAGGTTACTGAAAATTACTTAAAAGAATAAATTAAACATTTGAAGTTAGTCTTTGTTTTAGCTACATTGTGTTACCTGGGGAACTTTTAGATAATCTTTTATTTTTGTTCATTAAATTTGAATATATAATAAATGCAACCTGTTGTTTATTTCTGGCTTTTTAAGATAGAGACCCAAGAAAACAAATGGTAATGTTGTCAGTTTCTCATCACAAAGTCTTCCCAGGTAATAAGAAACACGAACACTGACATGTGTATCACATTTAATATAAATAATGGTCTATTTTTTAGCCAGTAGTATTGCCGAAGTATTGCCTCCAAATATATCACACACTAGTCATGATGTGCACGTACAAGTTTGTGTGTGTATTAGTGGTGTTTTTTGTGTTGGTATCTTGTTTATTTTCAGTTGTAAAATTTTAGAAGCAATGATTGTTTACTTCCTGGACATGTGTGGGCAACCACATGAATTGCCCTGCTCTGTGAGCTCAAAGACTCAGTGTGGCAGTGACTACTTAATGACTCTTAGATAAGAGCAATTCAGTGATCCTTTTGGGTTTTGTTTTTGTTTTCCAGAGTTGCTATAATGGACGTCAAAGCAAAAAAAAAATTCACAGGAAAAGGTACAAAGACATCACAAGAGAAAAACAGATTTTATAAAAGCAATGGTAAGATGGCCTTATCAAAATATGCTTCCTCTGTGGCAGTTTGTTTGGCCCTTATCTTTGGAGGGAGGGGCTTGTGGGATGAAGAGGCATGTAGCAAATTGCAGCCTTTATTGGTGGGTTAGAATTAGGATTAAAATAGGAAAAATCTGTGTTGCTGTGTGTTAGTGTGCATGTTCCCTGCGAAACTAACACATTTAAGAATAATTGCCAGGATAATTGGGGGATGCTATCCTCATAAAAGACTCCTCGTGTCAGCTAGTGATACTGTCGCCTCATGTTAGTCACACTAATTCACCACATTTTATTTTAATGTTTGATAAAGTGTGGCTGACTAATATATACTACTGGTAAACTACATACTTTTATCTTCAAGATTTCTAATTGTGATGTCTTTATTATTCCATCAGGTGTCAGTATTGCAAAATAGAAAAGTCAGAGTCTGTGTAAATGATCGTTTCCTAAGCAATCTTGTGTGTTTTTTTCTTACAGCAGTCTTAGGGCATAGCTGTTGCAGTTTTCATTTCATTTGTTAGGTACTTAATTTGCAAGCTTTGTTGACCAAAGAATATTTTTGTCAAATAACTTTATTATAGGCTTTGAAAATTTTTTTCAAAAATTAGAATTTTTGAAAAATTAACATCTTTAGTTTGTCTGTGTGGTATACCTTCTAAATTTCAAGTGTTTATTTTATTTTTAGATTCTTATAATTTTATTGAACCTTTAGAAGTTATGCGTAAAGACTTTAATGACATGGAGACATTAAAGTAGAATACAAAGGTATATAAATAATACCTCATTTCTACTCTGTACTTAAAATAAAGAAATACATCAGCCTGACAACTAGTTATCTCTAGAATTATGGATAGTTTTATTATGTATTTCTCTACTTTATAGGTTTTCTGTAATGAACCTATATTATAATTTTATAATCAGAAAATTTTTTAATTATGTTTTGGTATTTTAAATCCTGGTCTGTTCCATATTTGAGAGTAAGACAAAGTATGTTTCACCAAAGAGGGTGTAATTTTCTGTAACAAATACATCCCAGCGGATAAAAGAGATCTTGGCTTAGGATCATTGAACTAATAATTATTTATTATCGACACTAGATTCTGGTTCTTCAAAGACATTCCCAAGAAAAGTTGTTAAGGAAGATGGACCTAAAGTCACATCTAAGAACTTTCAGAAAAGTGCCACAAAACCAGGGAGAAAAGGTGTGAAGCAGTTCAAGAACAAGCAGCAAGGGGATAAAGTACCAAAGAACAAATTCCAGCAGGCAAACAAATTCAGCAAGAAGAGAAAATTCCAGCCAGACAGCAAAAGCGATGGTAAGCACCGATAGCTTCAGCATGGTTTTTGTGGGATCCTTCCCCTGCCTGAGCAGTTGCCAGAACCACTGTGCATAGGGACCCCAGAAATCTGTTAGAGACCTCGGTTCTTATTTCTTGACAGGCAGTATTTGGGGTGGGGGCGAAGAGTAAGTGGTATTAAATAAACCACAGGAAGCATCTTCCTTGGTCAGATTGTCCTCCAGTGCTTGGAGTTCCTTATGTCCTAGGCCCTTGCTGAATTACCTAGCCCTAGAGTTAAGCTAAGTTGTAATGGCTTTATACAGAGGAATATCAATAAAACATTCCTTTTTGTGGGCTACCATTCATTCATTCAGTCAGTCATTAAACAAATATTTGAGTTTTCTGTACACTGTGGTTGGAGATGGGAAAAATAACCAGTAAATGTACAAGCCCTGTCTAATCAGCATAGAAGCTGGCCTCAAACAGTTAGCGTGTCCTGCTAAATATCTGCCTTGGCTAAGGATGTCTTGATGAACAAGAGATACATGGTCCCTGCTTTCACAATGCTTAGGCCACTCCAATACGGTCAACCCATGAGATGGCCCAGGTCCAGCAGGCAGTTCCAAGGAAGGTGTAGTATACACATGGCATATTTGACTGTCATTGGTTCAGGACAGCTTGCTAACTGATGGGATGTACTGGCAGGGCTCCTATTTGTCTGTTGAAACAAACTGCTGTTCTCTTTGTCATGATGTTCCAGGGGTCATTTCTAACCCAGAGCTTTGCTGTCTGCTGTACAGCATGCCCCTCTTGAGTATTATCTTCCATTGGTCTCCAGGTAGCATGGGCCATTGTACATACACCTTCTCTGCAGCATCATGGGAATTTCCCTGTCTTTCCTTTTTTTCTCCAGCTTGGCATATCCTAACTGCTCCTTTGCTGCCCACTGAGACACTGCCATACGGCCTTCTCAGTGCAGTTCCCCAGCCCTGACCCCTGCTCTCTACTCTCCCCGGGGCTGTTCACTAGAGGGACAGCAGCCTTAAGAAAGGGAGGCTGGGAGAGGAAGGAAGGGACATTTTCATTGTTTTTCATTAAGCCTGCTGGGTCCTTTTATGCTCCAGCTCCAGTGTCTTCTCTTCATCATGTTTTCTTCCTTTTCCCTCCATCATGACCACACCCCACAGTTTCTCTCTCAGGTTTCCTTTCCTACCTCTTTCCTCCCCTCTCTGATAGCTCCTAAATCTCCCTTTCTCTACTGGGATTCTTGGCACCTGCATTTTAAACACACACGTTCTCACATCAAGATCCTGAGATCCTGTAGCCTGGTTCCTTCTATGGGGGATATGTTCCTGACATCTCAAAATGGAGCTCTGATTTTATTTTCTCGTATTTTCATACTAGCAACTGAGGGAGCTTGGATACTAGTCATCCCTAAAATTGATATATCTACTGCAGCCTAGCATGGTGTATGTCAAGGGTGCCCAAATGTTTGTGAACCTCTGAATCAGTTACTATCCTCTGCTATACAGTACATGATGGTCTAATATTAATGGTAAATATGCCCTCTGTTACCTACAACCCTCTATTGCCAGGCCAGGGACAAATAACCAGTAAGGAGAATAAATACGTTGTATATTATATAGCCATTAAAAATTATGGTTTGAGGAATATTTATTTTCATGGAGGAACACTTACAATATAGTTATTAAGTTTAAGGGAAGACAAATTCTGAATTAGAGCCATATAAAACATGCATAGGTAAAGAGACAAGAGGGAAATAAAATGTTAATGGTTATATCTAAGTTTTGGGATTATAGGAGAATTTTGTTTTTGCATTCTCTAAGTTTTTATAATTCGTGTATTTCCTAATCAGAGAAAAGGAGATATTTAGAAGAAACTAATTCTCCAAAGAGTTCTTTGCAGGATACTCATGTTAACAATACACATTTTATTAAGTTGTGTGTTTGGCCTCATCAGGCTTTTCGATTCAATTGGTATGTTATTTATATTTTGAGGACAAAAAATACTAATAGAAAGACACTTGACTTTTATAGAATTACTTTGTAATTTTGATTGTGCATTGTCATGAGTAAGGCAGCAGAGCATAAAGTTTCAGAGTTGTCTCTGGATTTGAATCCTGACTCTGCCACTTAGTAGCTGTATAACCTTTAACTAGGAGCTTAACTGCTTGGTGCCTTTGTTTCCCCAATGTGAAGGGAAGGGTAATAATAGTACCTACCTCTTAGCAAATTCCCAGTATTCAGTACAGTATTAAGGATAGTCATCATTCTGTACGTTATCTAGACTTACTCATCCTACAGAGTTACAACTCTGTACCCTTGGCCCAGCGTGTTTCCATTTTCCCCAACTCCCTGCCTCTGGTAACCACTGTTCTATTGCCTGCTTCAGTGTATTTGATGTTTTTAGATTCTACATGTACGTTAGATTTTACAGTCTTTTTCTTTTCTGTGTCTACCCCGGAACTCATCTTGTAAAAAAATACACACACACACACACACACACACACACACACACACACACACACAGTACTCACCTTACAATAGAGTTGTAATTAAGTGACTTAATATATAACAGCACTCAGAATAGTGAATTTTTTATTTCATTTTTTTTCCTATTTTATTTATTTATTTATTTATTTTGGTTTTTTGTTGTTGTTGTTTTTCCTATTTTAATTTGGACTAATTTTTGTTTTCCTTAAGAACTGATTATACCTAAAGTCCACTGAACTTAATGTTCTAAAGTAGAATTTTATTTTACTGAAAAAGATGCTTTTACCATCTTTTACCACCCTTTCAGTTTCCTTTTTTTCTTTGTAGTCACCCTCTTAAGAATCAATAAATAGCTGTTGAATGAATGAATGGTTGGTGTCAACCAAATTTAAAATGTATAAACTGCTCAGAAAATGCAGTAAAGTATAAGTTTATGGAGAATGATATTTCCCCCTTCTAGTTTCCCCATTGAGTAGAAATAGATCCTGATCAGTGATTGCCCTCTGTACATGATTTGTATTTGTTTGTGTCGCTCAGAATGTTAAATGTAACTGGTAATAATTTCTATAATGACCAGACTCGGCGACCAAGAAACCCAAATGGGATGATTTCAAAAAAAAGAAGAAAGAATTGAAGCAAAGCAGACAACTCAGTGATAGAACCAACTATGACGTTGTTGTTCGGGCAAAGCAGATTTGGGAGCTGGTGAGAAGGTAACACTACTCGGTGGCATCTTTATTAGTTCCTTTGAGATGATGAAGGAGTAAGAGTATCCCTTGTAAATAGTGAGATGCCCTAAAACAGATGACATACACTTGGGTTATTTAGGGAGCACTCCTAACACTCCAGTAGAGGCATGAGTATTTGGATGTCTGCTTGTTGTAGAAATGTGGGGATCACTAGGATGGTGTCAGATAGGTTTATGAAAATGTATGAGAGTTAAATTGGATTCGACATCCTTCCTGAAAGACTTCTGAGACAACGAAAGACAATTTTTTATCGGCTAGGTTTTGAGATACTTAAGTATTTGGTATCTTGCACTTGTTTTATTATTTTCTTTACTTTTGAAGTTCTGCCTGTGAAGATTTAGATTGATGCATGAAATTATACCTTGTGAGATGAGTTTCTGCCTTTGAGAAAATTACTTCTCTCTGGCTGCTCTGGAATAATAATTTTAACGTCAGAAGATTTGCTGCTTTCAAAGAGAAAATCACGCTTAACTGGGTGAACATACACTGAAACGGTTTTTAGTTTCTTGTGTTTAAAATTAAAATAATGTCTTTGCTTAAGCTATGTTTCCTCCCTCTTTTATTCTCTTTTATAGAAAAGATTGTGACAAAGAAAAAAGAGTGAAGTTGATGAGTGATTTGCAGAAGTTGATTCAAGGAAAAATTAAAACTGTAAGTAGGGCATACTTACAGTTGCAGTTTTAACTCTTGAAATTGACTTACCTCAGTAAAGGGTAGCTGACCATTTATGACAAGTGAAATTGTTGTTTTAAATGTATTTAGCCAACATTTTCAAATACTGACTAAGTAAAAAGTTTAATAATGAGAGAACTTATTTCTGGAAAATTATAAAAAGACTGTCCAAGTATTTGGCTGTGTTATTTTAAAATAATTTACTTAAATCGGTGTTCTTTAAAGCTATCTTGAAGAATTCATTAGTTCAGTAGTATGTGGTAGAATGTCTTGCTCTGAACTTCATATACTTTTGTATGTTCTAAATTGCTGGCTGTGTGTGTGATGCAAAATGATTACATCATTCTTTTCTTCCATGCTTTTACACACATGCAAAGATCCTTACAATGTTATAGATTTGGGAGTTCTAAAGTAATTTTCATTGTTGCTGTTTAGTCCTGTTTTATAATAAACTTCTGTTGGCTTGTATATTTGGATAAATACTTAGTGACTATCTAGTCTGTTAAGACAACAGATTCAGTAGCTTTGGGGACTCTGGAGGGGCAGCATTTGCCAAACCACGTACATATGTCTAACAGGCTACATTGTAGTTCGAAGAAATGTCTTGAAATAGCAAGTTCCCAGCAGCTACTTTCTTATAAATCCAGCCAGATCTTTTTAAAATAGAACTGTTCCTCTGCTCTAGTAGTGCGTTCTCCTTTATTTATAAATATTTTACACTCAGGATCCTTTACCAATTACCCTTAGGTTACTAGTACATGCCCATGGATGTGGGAGTTAGTCTGGTGTTTAAATCTGGTGTTAAAGTCACTCTGATGCTTAATATATCTGTGCCTTTAGATAATGGCAACCTATTATTTACTGTGTGTAGAAGTTGTGCTAACCAATGCATATATTGCCTCCTTTACCTTAAAGTCATCACTATTAGACATTTCATACATCTAGCACTCAGATGAGTTAACTTTCAACTCCAGGGTCACAGGAATAGAAAGTTCCTTAACTTCTCATAAACTTACTTTTTTTGCCTGCAAAGTGAGAATAACAACAGCCCACTCTTAAGATTGCTTTGAGGTCTAAATGAGAAAAATATATTTAAAGCATGTATATTGATTATATAGTAAGTAATCAATATATGCACAAAACAGCCTTATTTTTAAAATTTATTTATTTATTTTAGTTTTAATCATAAATGTTTATGTAAGTATCCCTTAAGGAAATTCTTCTGTGACTTTGATGGGTCTGATTTGTTAGAATTAAAAAATGTTAAAGACAGACTAAGCAACAAATAATGAGCACTATTAAAGTAAACTGGTACTGTAGCATAGTAAATAATTTTTCATGACTGATTGTTTGTGGTTATTGCTATGGAAAACTGATCAGCAGTCCTTCATTGAGGACCTAGTTCATCCAGTAGTTGTGAGGGGGAGATGGGTGAAGGAATCAGATTTGAACTACAACATATTTCTAGGAATATAATGAAAATGTGAGAAATGGAGAGATTAACTTATAATTGCCAATGTATGTGTTTACTTGTGTAGCAAGACTTTTTTAGATCTATACCTTTGGTTGCCAAAGCCAAACATTCTTAGATTTAAGAAATTATAGAATAATAGAATTTTTGAATTGGAAAATTCTCCTTGTAGGGAAAGCAACTTTCAGAGAAATGAGAAATATAATGTGTATAACCTAGACAGGTTTGTTTTGATATTTGGTTTTAATTAATAATGATAGGAATCTTGCAAAATGGTTAAATCTGTCCCTGTCTCAGTGCCGTATCATAGGCGGCAGAACCAAAGAATGCAATTTTGTACAATTAAAACAAGTATTTCTACTCCCCAGTAGCCTAGATTTAATTTTATCCATGAAGATCCTACCTTTTCTCTAACCAGGAATTCTGAAAGAGGTAACAATAAAACAGAAGTAATATGATAGAAACATAAATCTCAGAGAGACCCAAACTGTCTTCCCTACAGATTGCGTTTGCACATGATTCAACGCGTGTGATCCAGTGTTACATTCAATATGGCAATGAAGAGCAAAGAAAGCAGGCTTTTGAAGAACTGCAAGGTATTTCTTATGTTTTGGAGATGAATTGTAATCATTTGTAATGAGTGACTTGTTTTCTCTCGAAATACCCAAGACTGTCCTGGGAAATAATTCTGTTGTGGGAAAGTAATGTGTCCTCTGTAGGACCTTTTTTATTTTATTATTTGTTCTTTGCCTGGGACAAACAGAGAGCTAGTTGTTTATATTCCTAGGATTATGCATTTATTTAGTTCCTTCCTTTGTTTCTAAGGAGTCATTTTAATGTATTTTGTTTTTCAGATGATTTGGTCGAATTAAGTAAAGCTAAGTATTCCAGAAATATTGTTAAGAAATTTCTCATGTATGGGTGAGTTGTTTTATTTTTAAAATATATTTTTATTAGTTTTTTAAAGGTGTGGATACTGATTGTGTGCACATGTTACTTAAATGTCTGTGGCCATAATAGTGGCCCTCAACAGATGCTTGTAAAGTTTCCAGGGAGTGTGGTCTTAAGAACAGTTCTTGAAGTTAATGTAAATTGATGGTACTTCCTTCACCATTTTTAGGGGAGTATATCTTGAAGCCCTGGAAGAAAAGTAGGATAATCACCTTGTAATTTGTTACCAGTATTTAGAGGGGAGAGGTTTGGAAGGGGCAGGTGAGTAAATACAGTAGCAGAGGCAGTGGGACAGGAAATGTAAAGATGGGAGGATTTCCTGAATTAGGTGGGATTGATACTTGTCTTGATTTCTCTTTTTGAGTGTAATAAGGTGCCAAAATATGCCAATCAACAACAAAAAAGTAGAGTTGACAGAATTTTCAAAAACTATTTCTGACTATAATTATCAGCAGCTTGATTTTAGGATGTAATATAAATGCTTGTGACTGAGTCCTGTTTTAAAAGAGCATCCTTCGAATATGTTTTATCCATTTCCGTGCATCACTGGCCTTTACCTGGCCCTTTCCTTCTGTCCTCCCTTTTCCAAGCGGAACGGTTGGATGGGAACTACATTTGTTGAGCACTTGTTACGAGCTGGTCACAGTTCTCAGTACATCTTAACCCATTTAATCCTCATGTCAGCCTTATTCTTTCTCTTTCATGAATGAAGAAGCTGAGGCACAGAGGGGTTAAATAACTCGTTCAGGGTCTCGCAGCTGGTAAGCAGAGCCAGGTTTCAGCTCCTGGGTGACTTAGAAAGCTTGAGGCAGAAATGCAAGACAGTTTGATTTCCTTAGAAGCATTTCTCCGTGGTACACACCCACCCCCGCGTGATGAGTTGGTCTCAGGAGTTCTGTTGGTGTCAAGGTATGTTTTGTTGTCACCCAGCTTTCTCCTGTGTCACTTATCTTTTCCCTTTACCACATTGGGTTTAGGAGCAAACCACAGATTGCAGAGATAATCAGAAGTTTTAAAGGCCACGTGAGGAAGATGCTCCGACACGCGGAGGCCTCGGCCATTGTGGAGTATGCGTACAATGACAAGGCCATTTTGGAGCAGAGGAACATGTTGACAGAGGAGCTCTATGGGAACACATTTCAGCTCTACAAGGTAGCATTTCAAGGCATTTTTTTCTAGTGTTTTTACTTTTTCTATTACTTTATGATGCCCTGTTTTCAGAATGTGTTTTCAATTTGGCTGGTCATTTAAGAGACCATCTTAAAGTACCTTTTTCTTATGGATTATTTTGTCTCTGGTGAGCAAGTGATTATACTTTCTCTCTCACCCAGAGCACTACTTTTAAATCCCCTTTAAATTGAACTGCGTTTGTTCCTCCCTCCCAAGTGCTGTGTGTAATGCTTCAGTACTTCCGTTTCTGCAGTCAGATAGACCGAGGAAGAAGACGTAACAGTTAATGTAGCTGTGTGGCCACCCGACCAGCTCTGGCAGAAGTGCATCAGGCTCCCTGTTGTTGCCTTTTCCTGTGTTTCTTCATGTGTGTGGATTACCCTTCTCCAGCTTGTATGTAGAGAGGAAGGGGAGTAGAGAGACCCAACCTTGGATATATTCAGAGACTGAATCTGGAAAAGGCCAGTAATAAGACTAGGATATTTAAAGGATCTATTTCAGACCTTGGGATATAAATGCCCACACTTATCTCCAGGGATATGGATTAATTCCTGGGTTGAATTTAGTGCTTTGTTTCTTTTATAACAGTCACTACAGGAATATGCAGGTAAGTACAAAATACATGGTAAGGATTTGCAAACTGACAGCTTGATCTTGTAGTTAAGTATGTGCTAGGTGCTTGACAAGTACCTTTTGGCTGGTTGAGTTGGTTGGCCGGTTAGCCTGGCTCTTTATGTGCATTGGTGGCCATATACATTGAGAATCAGATAATCAGGAATTACTCCATGAGTGTATCTAAAGCAGGGCTTTTGTTATATGAATATGGGAAGTCTAAAACTTAATTTAAGTTTATTTAAAATGATGGTGATTGGTTTTCTTTGTTACGAAGCTGAAGAAACGTCATTAAATTTAGAAGGGTTTGATTTTTCTTGTGTTGCAGTCAGCAGATCACCCAACTCTGGAGAAAGTATTACAGGTACAGCCAGAGAAACTAGAGCTTATCATGGATGAAATGAAACAGATTTTAACTCCAATGGCCCAAAAGTAAGAAAGCTGGTTTTTGTTTTTTCTTAACAAATAGCATTTAAAGGAGGAAAGTTTTGTATGACCCTTGCATAGAAGGGCGGATAGTTTTCCATATATAATCTGTTACTTCATTTGGATTGTAAGACTTAGAAATTGGGCATGTGAACTTCTTGGCACTTGGTCCATGGTGGAGGGGTTAAGGTGTAGCCTCAGACCAGATGGGCTGGGTGTGAATCCTAGTGCCCCCTCCATCACCCCTCCATCACTAACTGTGACCTTGGGCAGTTTAACCTCTCTGTGCCTCAGTTTCCATATCTATAAAATTGGGATATAATAGTACATATATCATAGAGTTTTTTTGAAGATTAAATACGTTGATATTTCCAAAACACTCAGAACAGTGCTTTGCCCATAAAGGCAACCTGTTTTTGCCAACTACTCAGACACTCACTGTGAACTGAAATCTTTGGTGCCTGGTCATCAGCCTCCACTATACACCTGAATTCACCAAGTGTCACACTGGGAAGCTTGGGTCGAGTAGGTGTTACAGTTTCTGATACTGTTTTGATCTACTTGAGTTTAACTTTGCTAAAATTATTTTATGAAACTGATGCATTATGAAGAATGCTTGACAGAGAGAAAATAGCTATAAAAAGTAAGTCCACATATAGATTTCTAATTGTATGTCCATTCTTGTGTAAAAAATATAAATGTCCTTATTTAAGAGAGTGTATTTTGAATCATTTCATCTTTGCTGATTAAATACTAGAAATCTGTACCCTGGTTTTGGTCATAGATGGCAAGCATTAAAATATTTTTATAGTCTAAAAGTTTTGGGTTTTTTTAATCTTAATATTGCTGAAAGATACACTCTGTCTTTTGATAAATAACACTTGTTAAAACCATTTAACTTTCTTTGATTATTTTAGGACAACTGAGGTTACCTGTATCTGCATTACTGTAGTGCCAGATCTGACATATACTCTTTTCCCTTTTTTCTGTTTTCAGAGAAGCTGTGATTAAGCACTCATTGGTGCATAAAGTATTCTTGGACTTTTTTACCTATGCACCCCCAAAGCTAAGATCAGTAAGTTCTTGATTTTAGTTTTTAAACCAAAACACAAAAGAGCCATGTTAATATGTAAAACACTGCTTTGATATACATTATCTTTTGGAAATTTTAAAGATTTATTTAGAGAAGATAATGCACTAAACTTTCTTTGAGCAAGTCTACTAATTGTGTTTAGATTTCTACAAGAAGACAATAGAATTGACTGGTTTTATCAACTCCATTGAATTTTTATATTTTAATTATAATCCAGAGTATCCTCTAGCTAACCTAATTTAAAAATTAACAAATAGAGGGATATTCAGCATTCAGGTAGTTTTAAATTCACCTGTGCCAATACAACAACAAAAATTATGTTGGTGTTCAAAGGTTAGAGGAGGACACTTATGTAAAAAGTAGATGGACCATGAAAAATTGGACCTTCTATGATAGAGGGAAAAGGAACAGAGACTGAAGGCAAATTGCAGTGCCCTTTAAGTCAATGATGGGAACACAAATGAGAATTCATCGTTTAGTCCTAAACTTTGCTTCATCATGCAGTGAACTCATTGTCCATTTGTCCTAATTCTTATAATAAGGCATAACTAAAGTAATGATACTGACTTCTTAACAAATATACCAGACTAAGCATTCATAAAAACTTTGACCTGCTCAAAACTGACATACAAAATAATTTTCCACCAACCTAAACTTGTGGCTCAGTGACTGTAGCAGCTGCTGCTTCTCTTTTGGGTAATTCTCTCCCTTTCCTGCCGAGCAGTGTCTCACAGTTCTAGATGTACTGAGGTGGGACTACATTTTCAGAACTGAAAAAAATTATCACTTGAATACATTCAGTGGTGGAAAATCTTTCTTTTTAGTGTTAAATGTGTTTTAGTAATAGCAAAAAAAAAAATTGTTGGGAACCTAGTGTCAGTATAAAGTAATGAGGCAAATCTTTTCTGGCCCTGGGGGCATTTTCAAAAAGAGAAACTAAAAAAAAAACCTTTGGGGATAGTGGAAGCATAATTGGAATATGTGTATAACTCCCTGACTGGATAGCTTTAAAGAGAATCATGAGTTTAGGTACGTAAGTTAAAAGCCATGTCACTGAGATTCATCCTGGGTAAGGATTGTAGGACAGTTAAAGGTGAAATTGCTTGTTCCTTATTGATAAAAATAAGCACCTACCTTCCTCTCCTGGCAGGAGACCTGTACTTATTTGTTTAATATAAATTTTTTTTTAAGTGGGAATGGACTAAAATGGGGCCCTGTAGTTGTTTACTGGAACTCACATCTGTATGCTGGACTTCCAAAATATAATTTAGAAATTATATGCATTGACAATGAAGAATAAAGATTAAAAATAAGCTAAACTACCTTGTAAGAAATTAACAATTGAGTTTTTATTAAAGGGTCATTGATAGTGTGGACCTATTCTAATATAGAGATTAATTTTATTAGGAAAATGTTATTTAGTATTTCTATGGTTAATTATCACTGTGATTTATGGAAGTAATCTGGTGATAAACTAAAAAGGAGATACTTTTTCAGCCAAATTAATGTTTTGGTTCTCATTATATGCATGTCTCTTTTAGGAAATAGCATTTTATTTATGTGGCTTTTCTGTTGCCTTCTTACCGTAGCCACCTCCTAGCCTCCTTTTTCTTGAAAAATCATTTAGAATATACTATACATGTATATTCTTCTTTGAATAGACATTGAATTTTAATATAAATATATTTTATAAAATAGACAGGTATTTTAATAGAAATTGCTTGCCAGCAGTATTTGCTACTCCTGATGGAAAAGAATGTTCTTAGAAAGATGTGTGTCTCTGTGCTTGGCTACAAGATGAAAAGTTAAATTGTTTGCTACTTTTATTCTTTGTGCTTAACTGCTCCCCAGTAGATAGATTTTTTTAAAGGCAGAGAGAAAGAATAAACCAAAGCCCTGATGGCATTTGTTCCCCAGGAAATGATTGAAGCGATCCGTGAAGCAGTGGTATACCTGGCGCACACACATGATGGTGCCAGAGTGGCCATGCACTGCCTGTGGCATGGCACGCCCAAGGTAAGTGTGTGGGGCTTGACTTGCTATCCTTATACTTGCTGTCTTCCTTGGTCTTAACCCTGTTGTGCATAAACAGCTTATCTTTGCAAAGTTGTGCCTCAGGGCCTCATAGGAAGTGCTCTTCTTTGGGCCTAGTGTTTCTTCTCTGCTGGAGTTTTCAAAAAGTATGAAAAACCTGAGTTGTCATTTTTTGGGAAGGGACCTGTCAAGCAAATAACTACAATATTTATGTTAGGCTCACACTTATAGAAGCTTTGGTACCTGTCAGGCTCTGATTCCTCATTTAATGATCTTAATGGGGAAGATAGTGAACAGTTACACATTTGCTTATACGTGTGTTAAGTACTTTGAGGGAAAAGGTGAAAGTCCATATTAATTACAGAAGTTTAACAGAACTGATTCCCATATCTTTGAACAGTATAATTCTGCCTTTAAAAGACAGTTATATTTTGTCCACTTTTTAAATTAATACAAATTTAATTTCTATTCAACAAATATGCACTGAATGCCGTAGACTGTGTTTGAAGACAATTCAGGCATTGGAAGAGGGATCTCTCAGTTCTCACTATAAAAGGAGACCATTTCACTTGGTTTGCCTTGTGACTGATAATTTATTGTTCGGTATTTATGTCTGAATGGATATCACATACAAGTCTTAAGATTCTAATAGCTCTGAAAAGGCTAATATATTGCAGTTTTTTTGTTCTGGCTGTAAAACTATTTTCACTAATGAAAAGTATGCCACTCCAATGACAGTTTAATATTACATAAAAATTTTGCATATGAAATACTTTTAATCTATAATTAAAAGTTGGGACAATTTTTCTTTTTTAAGGACAGGAAAGTGATTGTGAAAACAATGAAGACTTATGTTGAAAAGGTGGCTAATGTAAGTATAATATTTCTTTTAATTCTTTTTAATGAAATTATGTTTATTATGGAAAATTTGAAAAATTCAGAAAATTATCAAGGAAATTATTCATTGTTTTATTACATTCTTTTCCTATGCATATGCATGCATTTTATATATTAAATTTATGCAAATGAGATTTCTCCTTTATTCATTTAACATTATATAGTGACACTTTTCCATTTTTATTAGATATTTTTCGAAGACCTGATATTTACTACCTTACTTAATGAATTTGTTAGGTCATATTAAACATGGAAATTACTGCCTAGAATAAATTCTAGTCAAGTCTTAGAGTTCTTTGGAATCCTTTGGAGATGCTCTAACAGCTTTCCTGGTGAAATTAGAGAATGCAGAAAATTTTTCTGAGGCATTAATGATCTCAAAAAATAGTATTTCTTTGTATTTAAATACTAAGTAGTTTTCCATAGTATTTCTAGAATGCTGGGTGAGGCAAAAGTAATTTTGCAGTTGTTCATAAGGAAAAGAAACTCTTGTTTTGTGTACTCACAACTATAAACTTACTTTTGCCCACCTGGTATGTGTAGCAGCAAATACTATAAAATTTTTTGAGTTATTTTATATGTTAATGTTTTATAGCTTCTCATTTACTGGAGAACTAAAATTAGTGATATCAACAACTTTTTCCTATGAAAAATCTAATGAGAACTACTAGCATCTGGTGAATACTTAGTACAGTAAATATGAATTCGAGCACATACGCTGCTGTGTGATTGTATACATGCCTGTCTTCTGTAGGGTTGGAGACCAGGGAGAGAGTGTAAGACCACTTAAAAGGTAGCTAACCTTTCTGTAACAAAATGAAATAAGATTCTCTAGTGAGCCATTTCCAGAGTATGAGAATATGATTCATTATTCACCATGAAATAAGTCGTTTTGTATAACATTTTAATTTGAATATTTTAAATTAGAAATGAATAAAAATAGGATGTTAGTAGAAAGTTCTAAAAGGTATTCATAGTAAAAGACATTTTAAGTAATAAAATTAGATTGTTTTAACTTTATAGTTTATTTGTAATAATGAGATTTTTTCGAGAAACTAATCCCTGCAAGACTCTGATGGTAACAAGACATTAACAGTACAGTGTAATTTTTATCTCAAGGAGTTGCTTCTAAGGGTTTAATACAACCCATGGATTTGATTTATTTAGAAGAGTTTAATTTCCAAACATTGGGGGTTTCTTGACATACTCTGTTATTTCAGTCCTTTTCAATTTATAAAGACTTATTTTATGGCCTAGTGTGGTCTATCTTAGTATCTTAAAAGGAATGTGTTTTGTGGAGTCATAGGGTATAGTACTCTGTAAATGCTGATTAGATCAGGGTGGTGGATAGTGTTGTTCAGATCATCAGAGACTTTACTGATTTATCATTGTTTAGTTCTACCAGTGGATGAGAGAAGCCTGTTAAAATCTCCAACTGTAATTGTAGACTTGTCTATTTCTCACTTAAATTCTGTTACAGCCGCTTCTGTATTCAGCCAGAGATGTCCTGGGTATAGAACTTAAAAATCAGAAACCAGTGCTGTGTACTAGATGCACGATGTTCTCCTCTTTGCTTCCCTCACTTAAAGTATCTCAGAGGTCATTTCATTTCAATATGTGCACATCTACCCACATCACTTTTTTTGATGACTTCATACTATTTCATTATATGACTTCCAATAAGCCACTTAACCAGTCCCTACTGTTGGACACTTGGGTAATTTCTAGTTTTTTGTCATTTCAAGTAGTGTTCCAGTGCATGTCCTTTGTGCATACATGGGAGCATGTCTGTAAGATAAATCTAGAACTAAAGTTGCTGGATCAGAAGGTACATGCATTTTAAGTTTTTTAGATGTAAATTGCCCTTCAAAAAAGTTGAACTACTTTACATTCTCACCAATGACAAAAGTATACCTGCTTTTCTCCAGACCTTTGCCAAATTAGTATATTATCAAGGGTTTCACTTCTGCCTATAGAATAGGTGGGAAATGATACTTTATTGTTTTCATTATTACCTTTAATTAATGAGTGAGCATTAATTCATGTGCGTAAAGCCATTTGCACTTCTCTTTTTCTATGAACTGACTCTTCATGTTCTTTGCCCATTTTAGTAGATTATTGGTCTTTGTACAGTAAAGATGTTAGACCTTTGTTATTTTTCTCTAGTTTGTCTAATTGAAATGTTACCTGCTATATTCATCAGACCTGGCTCTGAATGGGGTTATAAAAAGTCAAATCCCCCCTCTTAGTAAAGAATGATTCATACTATCTAGGATACAAAAAGAATATACCATGAACTCTGAGAACACTTTCCCCTCCTCCCCCCTCTCCCCCCTCTTCCTCCTCCTTCTTTTCCCCTTTTTCCTCCTCCCCCTCCCCTTCTTCCTTTTCCTCCCCCCTCCT